GGGCTTTAGGGCTGGTGCATCCAAGCTGCTGCTTCCCCAGACTTGCGGTGAAATCTGATGTTTCAAAATCTTTATTTAGCTCCGTCTCAGGAATGAGTTTGATTCTCAAGTCAATCATGGCACTGAGCAGCAAACTGACTTCAAAATAAAGGCCAGGCTGGTACGAACCCAAGTGAGAGGACTAAAAGAGTTGTCTTAAAGCCAAAAAAGGAAAGGAAAGCTCAGTCTAGTACGTGTATTTCAGATGCCATGGAGCCCCTTAACACAGAGCCAGCCAAAAGACCCCTAAAGTGGAGGTTGCACTGCAGTTGCCAGAACGTTGCTGTGTCCGAGGTGCTCCAGAGGTTTGGGTTTGATCAGCATCTTTCCGAGCTGTGAGAGCACCCTGCAGGTTTTCATGTCCTTCAAAGAGAATCTGAATTAACGGCACCGGTGGTAGCGCAGTTTCTACGCGTGTGGTTGCCCACACGTATGCCTGATTTTCGAGGGTCTCAGCTCTCCCCGTGCCTTCAGCTGGGCAGGTTCCTCAGCACCTCCAAAACGGGGTCCCTGGAGCGTGTGTGTCCCCTAAGGGTGGCATCTGAACCCCGCTGGGGTCACGGGCAGCCCTGCCCAAGCTCCAGGAGCTTCCGCTGTGTGTCCGTAACCCTCACGGCTGTGTCTCACCTCCAGCACTCGTGTTTTTACGGTCGGAAATCATTCATTCCATTATCTTCCTTTCTGTTTGCCTCTGCAAAGCTGATCTCCGGGCAGCTGTCTCCTACCACGGAAATGTAGTAACGGGGCAGAGACCTGAGAAGCAGCGGCTGCTGACACGAAGATCATCTCCATCCGGCACTGCCTCGGAGGGGGTGCGTGGCTGCTCAGTGGGGGCTCCCAAAGCAGAGGGGGGAGAAGGGATCCCAGGCACCAGCTGAGAAAAAGCCGCTCGCTCCCTTTCTAGCAAAGGCAAGTTTGAGACTTCCGAGAGCGATGTCACCTTTTCTAGTTTGAGACGAACGCCTTTCGACCCGTTTTTGGTTGGTTTGGGTTGTTTGTTTGTTTTTTTAATGTCACGAAGCAAATCCAGTTCACGGTTTAAATGTAGCACCGCAGGGGTTTTTTTTTGGTGAGGAAAAACAACAAAATCTCTTTCTTTACTGAGAATCCACGCAGTCCGGCAAGGAGTTGGATAGCAAGTCTTAGCAGTGGGAGCGGTGTGCGCATCTCTGACGGTACTTAAACCTGCTTCAGTCCTGGGTGAACAGCAGAGAACGCCAAATTGGTGGGAATAACGTCCTCCAGTGCGAGAAGCCCTGCAGGGTAAGTCTGCAGCCTCGGCTTTCAAAGCTCCTCCGCCTTTTTACAGCAAATGGAAATAACTTCAGGAAAAGCATCTGCAAAGGATCTTCCGCTCCCGAGCGGCCGTGGCCAAGCGTTCCCGATGGTACGGAGCCGTTGCGTTGCGATACTTGACGTTGCTATGGCAAGGACACAGTTTGTTCCCGTGGATGCACTGAACCCCTGGAGACCTTCGCCTTCTCCAGCCTCCTGTGCACCCGTGCTCGGTTTTAAATGCAGTTACGCCCTGAAGGCTTGAGGGTTTTGTTGGGTTTTGTTTGTTGTTTTTTTTAAAGTATATTCAATTGTGATTTAGCACTTTTTTGCTACTAGCTCATTATTTAATTAGTGCAACAGATTCAGAAGATGAACGAGTAAGGGGTTAAATTTTGGGCATTAACACTGAAACAGTCCATGCCTGAGGAGAAATCATATCAACCTGAGGACGGCTTGGCCCCGTCTATCCCCAAAAACCACCACCTCGAAGGTGCTGTGTGCTTCCTTTGCTCTCAAATTACCGGAGTATTTAACAGGAGTTTGGGCTGTGACTGATGTGTTTTCCCAGTACAGTTCCCCTCGAGGGAGAGATGTCCAAATGGTGGTGATTTGAATTCTTCAGATGCAGAAATGTAGTGCAGCACACGTGTAATAACCTCGCCGTGTAACGGCTGGGGATGCGGTACCCTGCTGCTTTACTGGAGCTGCATGCCCGAGTAACTCCTCTTTCATTCCAGTTGCTGCTGTATGTCAGGATTTCATTTGGGCTCCTGAGCCAGTGAGGCTGGGAGAGAAGTGAAGCGCAATCCCAAGGGCATAGACCTGTAAATGATATTGGGGAGGGGGGGGAAGTGGAGATTGGGTTTTGTTTTTTTTTAAGTCGATGAATTTAGGAAACTTAACATTCCTTGATCTGCATATGTTGCAATTCATACTGGTGTAAGTGTAAATATTTGGTGTGTCGGCAACGAGTCTTTATTTTTTTTTTTGGAGAGATTGCAAATTGAACCTCTGCTTGGGAGGAGGGACGCTTTTTGTTGTTGTTTTTAATTGTATATTTTTTCGGAAGCTTGGCTTGGAGGTGCCGTGGTGATGAAGACTCCAATCTTCAGGGAACTGGGTTTGGTGGCCCTGGTGGCCCTTCCCAGTCCCGCCTGTAGCCCTGTGGTTGTCTTTAGTGACCCAACAGTTCTTTAGCCAGATCTTTGCTTTCTCACTTCATAGCCAAAGCCATCGTTTCAGCAGCGCATCGCCCCTTTAATTCCCATGGGTTTTCTCAAGGTACTTGAACGCTGGACACTGATCCTGGACCATGCCCCCCCCAGAATCTGTTGACCCCTCCGTTGCGCAGTATTCAGGCGCTTCCTCCCTACAGGGTTTTGTGGTATCTGGAGGAAAGTGCCCCAAATTCCTGGTGCTGAATATGAATTTGGATCTGTTGTGTTACCTGCCTGGGAAAAGGGCTTTGTTCCCCATTTGAAGGACGGATTGTGTTTGTGCGGGGCATGAGTCCAGGCTGAGAACCAGACAGGTAAACCAAGAAGCGGAGTTGGTGTCTTTTTTTTTTTAATATAGGAGGGGACTGTGTTTTTAAATTGAAGCTGCTTTATCCTTTTTTCTAATTTTTTCTTTACAAAAAGGAAAGAAAGAAAAAAAGCGAACCTTAGCTGTTCGGCTGCCCTTGACCTTGCTTTGGGACTGTTCCTTTTCGAAGAACTTATGCAACTTTTTGGGGGTACGTGCCCGTCCCCCTCCCAGGGCACCTCCAGGCTGTACCTCTAGCGAAGAGCTGGTGCCTTCACCAGGCTGCGCAGACACAGACCCACACCAGATGCCAAATAGCCCCTCCGAACGCGCCCCGTTCTGTGCGCAGCTGAAGTGGAGGCCGTTGTTTAAGGCTCTTCCTCCCCACAAGTTTCCCGCAGCAGAGTCTCCCCTGGTTTTCTCCTGCTCGCATCACTTCCGTGCAGTCGGGTCTTTTATTTTAGAGCAAGCACAGCGTTTGCAGCGCTGTCTTGTTGCAAAAAGTCTCCCTTTTAGGTCTCACATTGGCATTATTTACTGCATTTCTTTTCCAAAAGGAAGTAGCTGTGCTGCTCTTGCAAAGTTGATGTAGCTCAAACATTTTTTCTTACCCGTGGAAGAATCACCTGAGATTCCCTAACAGGGCAGAGAACAGTCGAGTTCAGTTTGCAATGTAGACATTTTTGCTAATTGTGATGTATGGCAGTGGGACTGATTTGTAACAAATGTTATTTAATCTGTCTGTATTTTGATACTTGAATTTCCTTTTATTTCCTGTATATACAATTGTTAATCTGCTCCAATTTGTCTGAATTTTAAACATCTTGTGGTACCAAACGTAACCGATCTGTGCAACAACATAGACTGACCTCACTACAACAAGGCGAGATTGTAAATATTCCTGGGCTTCCAGCAGTCGTTTTGTTGTTTTCATAACTGTACAACTTAGAACAGACTGAATTAATAAACAAACTTAGACACACATCCGCCTCCTTGTCACTGCCACCTCAGCGGCTCCTGCTCCTCTCGTCCTGGTCCACAGACCTGTGAAGGTAAGAGAAAAGGGGTGAGGGTGGGCAGGGTGTTTAATTAGCTGGGTGGTTGATTAGCTCAGGTTAGCACTGTACCTGCACTGTTTTGTTACATCTGAGGAACAAGGAAAGGTGGTGGAAGCGGAGCACAGGAGCAGTTCCCTCAGCAGCTGCTTTGGGTGAAGCTGCTCTTTTTGCTGTCGTAACAACCCCAAATGTTAAATATTAAATTATTTTGAGACAAACTAATTTATGCATGAAACGTCATCCCTGTGTTCTGTTAAGGACAGACCTGCCTCTAGCACCACGGTCTCCAGCAGCTTGGTGTGTGTTCTCCACGTGATGGTGAGAAAAGCTCCGATTTAGCCCCACTAAGGTACATCTGCAAGGATCGTTCCACTGGGGACTGTCAGGACCCTAATTTACTAATGATCAACGTTAAAATCACTTCTGCAGCACGGCAGCAAATGGTTCATGTAACAACAGTAACAGTTTAGGCAGCCACTGCATGTAGTATTTACCTAGCAAAGGTTTTTGGCTTGCCAAGAAGTAGGACATTTTCATTATGTAAAATTAGAGCAAGAAATCCAGACATTTAAATACAGGGTAAAGTTCAGCTTTTCATGTCAAGTAAAATCTGGCTGATGTCAAACACTAAATACACCAGGGATTGCTAAATTTATACCATATGTTCCATTTCTAATAATTCAGTAAGTCAGGTTTTCAAGCTAACGTTGAAATACATTGAGCACTTTTAATGATCTTAAATACCATGTGGCTTTATCAAATGCAGCCAGCGTCCCTGGGCTGTGACTAACATTTCAGCAAAGTAGGTTACAGGCCCATGGCAGAATTAACACCTTGAATTAAAAAAAGCCTAAGCTGCACTGCAGTTTTCTGAGCTCTGCATCCCGTTGCCTTCCCTACCGAATAGGATTTTTCTGGGGGGGAAAAAAGCCACTACCTTTTGTAGCTGAGAGGTTTATTCACATAGTGACGAGCCAAGAGTCACTTCCCAGTAGCGATGCTGGCCATGGTGGATTTGGCTGATTGATTTTTATGAGCTGAAGGATGATTTAAGAACCTTGGAGGATGCATTTCACCCTGCCCGGTACGTGGTGAAGGTGATCAGAAAGGATCCAGCTCTGCATCCGAGTCTGGTTCTGCATGTGGGAGAAGCACTTCCTTGAGAATTCCTGAGCAGTACGGTCCAAACACCTCCCTGTTGTAGTGGGTCACTCTTCCAAACCTGCACCCAACTTCCAGCAGCTCTTTGTGAATGACATCAAGGCCCTTTGCGAAATCTTTTTGGGAATTCTGTCCGTCAGAGGCAATGAAAAGGCTGAGGAAGGAAGGAATCCGCTGTTCTGTAGGGAGCAAAAGTATGAAAACGAAGAGGAAAATCAACAACCAACCTTTGCACAGAAATCACACAGAATCACAGAATCCCAGAGCGTTAGGGATTGGAAGGGACCTCCAAAGCTCATCCAGTCCAATCCCCCTGCCGGAGCAGGAACACCCAGATGAGGTTACACAGGAAGGCGTCCAGGCGGGTTTTGAATGTCTGCAGAGAAGGAGACTCCACAACCTCTCTGGGCAGCCTGGGCCAGGGCTCTGTCACCCTCACTGAGAAGAAGTTTCTTCTCCAATTGAAGTGGAACCTCCTGTGTTCCAGTTTGTGTCCGTTACCCCTTGTCCTATCATTGTTTGTCACCGAGAAGAGCCTGGCTCCATCCTCGTGACACTCACCCTTTAAAAAAGCACTCACCCTTCAAACCCAATGTTGAAGTGGAGCAGGTTGACAGTAAAGACTTTTCACCCACTCTGAGAGTTTTTGTACTGCGGTGAAGTGTCAAGCATCTCAGAAGCGTAATGGAAGACAGAACTTCAGAGCCCGGGATTTATCTCGCCTGCCACAGCAGCGTTTTGAAATGGAAATCGTTCAAGAAGCCTCTCTGGGGAGCACAGAGCTGAGCTTCAGCAACTCAGCTGCTTCAGAAGTTCTCGCTCTTGAAGCAAGTACGTGGAAAATGGTGATAGTGGCCAAGAGCACAGGCAAGACGTGGGTTTGATTTCTAGCCATGGAGCAGGGAAAGGCTGTCCAGTTCTGCAGCTTCTAATGCCACCCCATCGCTGAGTCACTGCCCAGGCTGTAGTTTATCGTGGTTTGGTTTTGACTATTAATTCAGCCTTCAGAATTACATTCAAAACAAAACAGCCTGCTCTGACATGGAAAGAATAAACCCAAATAAACAGTGTGGTGGAGTCCACCCGGGCTGGGAAGGATACTTAACTCGATGAAGCAGTGGGCAGGAAGAGCCTCACCTTATTTTCCTAGCTGATAAAAGCCAGTCTTCCATGTGGAAATAATCTTTCCTGTAGCGTACTCGCTGCCTGTGGCACCGCAATCTGATGCGGAATTAGCGTTCAGAGTACTAATAAAAGGTCAAAATAACCAGCTCTTATCCAAACCATTTGAATAAATATTTGGATGGAGCAGCATTATAGGGCAGCTGGTTAGCTGAATCCCAAGCAGTGCACTCCCAGGGGATAGATCTTATTTAAAGATGTTAGCGTGGTGCTTTACTACAGCCGGTGATTAAGCTCTCACTCTACATCCTAGCCTGAAGATTGCAACACTACCTAGGGACAGCTGTGGGCCTGTTTAGGCTTTTAGCAAGGAGGGGAGGATTTAAGAGGTTGTTTTTTTTTCAAAGCAATTACTCTTTGGGAGCATTTCAGGGTGGAACAGGAAAATCAAGGCAGCTTTCCTGTCCCTCCTCTCCTGTGCAGACTGCGTGGAGTGGCCAGACGCTGATCCCAGCTCCCCCCCTCGAGCAGTAGTTGTGCTCGGTGCAGGGAGCTGGCTTTGCTAGGACTGATCTTAGACCTGTCCTACAGGCTCCAGGGTCATTGGCCACAACTGAAGTTTAGGCTAAAGTGTCTTCAAGGCTGGGTTAGCCTTCAGCTCAGACACTCACCAAAGACACACCGGACTGCGTTGCCACCATCTGCGATGCTGTGTAACCCAGCTGTGAGTGCATCCTGGTGACCTCCTGGAGCACTTGGTCACTGAAGTCTTCCAATGTTTCTTGCTACCTAAAATCATACAAAGGTATGTCCATTCTGAATCGCATTGGTTGGGGAAGGGGTTTGCAGGCACAGAGCAAGGGGGGGAGGCTCTGCACGTGCCTGTGGAGTGTCAGCACAGGACAGCCAACGCTGAGCCACAGCCCTGGTGCCTACTGCAAGTGAAGCTTCCCTTCCCTGCTCTTTGGCGAGCAGGAAGCTGCCCTGTGGCAGACTCATATAAAACAGTGATCAGCACTACTTATTTTCCCCTCTAATCAAGTAGGGACTATTGCTTTAGAGAGTTAACTCCCAGCTAAAAGTGCTGACTGGCTTCCCCCACTCCTTGCAGTAGACTTGGCTGCTATTTGGACCTCAGCTCCTC